AGATGAGGATAAAGCCACCACTGGTTCCTTCTTTGAGCTCCATGCAAAGACTGCATTTCCAATCATAAACACATATGCTGTTGTACTGTTCCTGTCATCTTTATCACCACTCCAACCTGAATCTGAATAGCCTATCAACTCACCTCCTTGATCTTTACAATATTGAATCCCATACCTGTATGTACCCTTCACATACCTCAATATCCTCTTGGCTGCGATTAAATGAGAGGTGGTTGGCTTCACCATGTACCTGCTGATCATCCCTACACCATATGTGATATCAGGTTTTGTGTGACACAAGTATCTTAGGGAACCAACAAGCTATTTGAACAGAGTAGGATTTACTTCCTCTTCATCATTCTCCAAGGATAACTTTGTCCCTGTATCAACAGGAGTTGCAGCTGGCTTGCAGTTTACCATGTTAAACCTTTTTAGTACATCTTGAGCATATTTCCTTTGATGAATAATCATTCCTTGATCATTTCTGTCAAATCAATTCCTAGGAAGTATGTGAGTCTGCCTAAGTCAGACATCTCAAATACCTTCATCATGTTTTCCTTAAACACCTTCATTTCAGCTTCATTATTTCCAGTCACTATCATGTCATCCACATATAGACATACAATGAGATGATCTGTGGTATTCCTACTGTAAATTCCATGTTCACTTACACACTTCATGAAACCTTGTTGAACAAGAAAACTGTCTATTCTCTTGTTCCAAGCCCTTCGGACTTGCTTCAGCCCATACAGGGCTTTGTTCAGCTTATTAACATGTTCTTCCTTTCCTGCTATCTCAAATCCTGATGGCTTATTCACATATACTTCTTCTTCTAGCTCACCATTCAAAAAGGTTGACTTTACATCTAGCTGATACATAGACCAGTCATTCTGAACTGCTATTGCCACAATCAGTCTGATTGTTTCCATTCTTGCTACTGGAGCATAGACTTCATAGTAATCATGTCCATGCCTTTGTAAGAATCCTCTTGCTACTAATCTAGCCTTGTATTTTTCCACTTGCTCATCTGGCCTTAGTTTTGTCTTAAAAACCCACTTGACATCAATACACCTCTTGTTAGCAGGTAATTTAACTAATTTCCAAGTCTTATTCTTTTCTATAGAACTCAGTTCTTCAATCATGGCTATCTTCCAATGTTTCTGTTTTAAAGCTTCTTCAAAAGACACTGGTTCAGTTTCAGCCAGCGTTGCTAATTGCACTATATCACCCTCATCTATGACTGCTTGATCAGGGAATTTGTGGCTGGTGGTTGAGTATTCCTTGTTGGTCTATTGATTACTTCTGCACCTTCTTCTTTTGTATCTTCATCAACTTCTTCTTGTTCCTCAATCTCACCTTCTTCTATCTCTGAGTCAGAGAGGGGTAAATGATTGTTACCTTTATGTGAGATCTTTTCTTTCCAATCCCATTCCTTTGATTCATCAAATCTTACATCTTTGCTGAATACTATCTTCTTATTATTTGGATTATATAGTTTGTATGCACCAGTTTGATGATAGCCAACCATAATCATTACTTGGGATTTATCATCTAACTTCCTTCTTAGTTTATCAGGCACATGACTGAAACATAATGAACCAAAGATCCTTAAATGTTGAACACTTGTTTGACTCCACTCCATGCTTCCTCTGGTGTCTTGTCCTGCAACTTCTTTGTAGGACTTCTGTTTATGAGATATGTTGTAGTAGCAGCTGCTTCACCCCACATGAAATGAGGCATTTTCTTTTGCTTCAACATACTCCTTATCATATTTACTAGGGTTCTATTTTTCCTTTCTGATATCCCATTGTGTTGAGGTGTATAAGGTGCAGTGATTTCATGACTAATGCCATTTGATGAGAAAAACTCATGAAATTCAATAGAGTTGTATTCACCTCCTCCATCACTTCTTAGCCTACTAATTACTTCCCCACTTTCATTTTGAACTAGCAATCTAAACTTCTTAAACACATTTAACACTTCACTTTTCTTAACCAACAAGTAAATCTACAGTTTCCTAGTGAATTCATCTATGAATGTCACAAAATAGCTATTTCCACCTACTGGCCTTACTTCAAAAGGTCCACAAACATCTGAGTGAATTACCTCTAGTTTCCTAGTTGCTTTGAATGGTACCTCTGCTTTGTATGAGCTTCTGGCTTGCTTTCCAGTACAGCATATTTCACATACTTCTTCTGGAACTTTTAGTTTTGGTAGGCCTTGCACCATCTTCCTTTCATACAGCATATCCAGATCTCTAAAGTTGATGTGCCCATATCTTTGATGCCATAACCAGTCCTCATGCTTAGTCTCAGTCAACAGGCAACGATCTTCAATCACATTCATATTAATCCTGAAGGTTCTTTGCTTTGACAGTGGGGCTTTAATGATCGGCCTGTTCTTGTGATCAAAGATATCCATAGCTTTTGCCTCCATTCTCATGGTATATCCCTTATGTAATAGTTGGCCAATACTAATTAGATTGCTTTTCATGTTTGGCACATATAGCACATCAGTAATACAGGACTTCTTGCCATCCTTCCTATTGATCAAGATCTTTACAATCCCAGCTGCACATACTATGCTATTGTCTGCAAATCTAATACTTTTATTTACTGATTCATCTAGTTCAGAAAACCAAGACTTCTTGCCTGTCATGTGATTGGAACACCCTGTATCTAGATACCATTCATCACTTCTTTTTTCTTCATCTTTGACTGTTGCCATCAGCAACACTTCATCTGAGTATGATCCTTCAGTCTGAGCAAACTGAGCCTCATCTTTGTTCCTTGGTACTCTCTTTGATCTGCATTTAGAGGCATAATGTCCCCATTTTTGGGAAATATAACACTGAATCTCCTTCTTGGACTTTCCTTTCTTCACATATTGAGCCTGCAATGCTTGATCCACAGATGCAACTTTTCCTCTTTCTTTGATCTTATCTGTTAACCTCAGTTCATGTGCTTCTATGCTTGCCTGCAATTCTTCAATCTTCATGGAGTCTAGATCCTTTGACTCCTCCAATGCAACTACAATGTGATCAAACCTTGGTGTTAAAGTTCTGAGAACCTTTTCTACCTTCATTACATCAGTGAAGTTTTCACCATTCCTTGTCATCTGGTTTGTGAGAGTGATTATTTTGTCAAGGTATTGGCTGATGGTTTCTTCTTCTTCCATTGTCAGCACTTCATACTGCTTCCTCAATGCTTGAAGTCTCACCTTCTTTAGCTTCCCATCACCAGCATACAATTTGTCCATCGCATCCCATGTTTCTTTTGCACTTTCATAGTGCATGATCTTCTCAAAGATCTCATTGCTCACACTTTGATGTATCAAGAACATGGCTTTCCCATCCTTCTTCTTCAGTTCTTTGTGTGCAGCTTGTTGTTCTTCTGTTGCATTGGCTGTTAGGGTTGGTACTCCTTCATTCACCACTTCAAGAACCTCTTGAAACTTGAAAATTACCTTCATCTTCACAACCCATTGATCGAATGTTTTACCTTCAAACACTGGTAATTGTGTAGAGATGTTATTGCTATGATTTTCCATTCTTCGAGTGTCTTCTTGCAGCAATTATGGAACCGGGCTCTGTTATACCAATTTGATAGAACAATCATGTAATGATGCATCAAGAAATGAGATGAAATTGGTGAAAACTGAATTATATGAAACTTGCAATAATTGTATTACATTGTACACCACATAACATTGGCTTTTATAACAATCCCGCTAACTAACTAACTGGTTTAACTAACTAACAAAATTACAAAGCTAATAGATAGTTGATGTTATAACAGATACTTAAATTGATCCAATGAACTAAAATTGTTGAAAGTTAGAATGAGTTGCTGCCATAAAGTTAAGTCTGGGGATCCTTTCCCTATCACATCATATGCATGCTCAGACTCTGTCATCTAAATTATACCAATAAAAAGTTTGTGACGTGAAAGGAATGAATACACTAAAAACACAACGAAGAAAGTTTTAGAGTTGTATAACCTTTGCATTAAGACAAAAATGTTATGTGTGAAGTCCATTAATTATTTGATTGCCATTTTAAAAACAAAATTTTGTGTATATGAAATATCTTTGGTAGGTTTGGAATTAATGAGAAGGGAAAAATAATTTCTTTTTATATTCATTTTTAAGAAAAACTAGCCCTAAAAGTTGTTTTAAACCTCTAAATAGGTTGGCACTCTAAAAGTTGTTTTAAACCTCTAAACAGGTTGGGCAGAGGAGATAAAATATGATGAGTGTGAGTTTATAATTCACACACACCACACACTCATGTTCCATCTAACAATCATGATAGTTCCTTCAAAAGCAATTTATTCATAGAATCCACTCATATCATAGAATCAAACTACAAAATACGTATGCATAATTGCATATGCAAACGTACACGTAACTTCTTTCTGCATTAGCACATTGACATTTCTTAATGCCATTTAATGCTTAACGTCTTACGCAAACAATAGCTTTTCCCCAATGGAAATCCTTTGTATACCATAATAACTGCAAAATCATGTTCAATAATAAAACACTAATTTTTAAACAATGTGGCTCACGAAGTTGACAAAATATGTGAAAACAAACAATTTAATAGATGTAAAGATAGAACAATTTCAATACACAAATACTACTATAATTTACACATGCTATGCAACAACTTGCCAAATCACTCAGAAGTTTAGTGATCCTGAGGCTAAATGCTGTTTTACGCAAAAGCTTTAAGAAAAACAATCTAGAAACTCCTTGTTTCATTGAAACTTGTGTATAAGGATTTGATCATGGCTTATTCTGAACTTTTCTGTTCAGGACACTCTAAGGTCTGAAATTGTGTTTCCCAGATACAACTTCACCGTGTTCGGCATGCTTTGCTCGAGCAATTCTATTGAAGAAACCGAGTGGAGTTAACGGATGCTAAATCAGAAACAATTCAAAAGATTTTTGACAAAATAACAGAAGTATGAATATTACCAGATAAATGGTGGCGACCATCATGATTGATCTTCGTTGGACCTTGTCCTGTTCAAACGCCGGCGCCTCCTTGGGACATGTGATGCATCTTCAACCAGTTCGTTAAATATTCGCAGATCTTCTTCGACTTCATTATCTTGAAGACCCAATAAATTCTCGCCCCAAAGATAGCGACGACGGTCAGATGAACGGCGATGATGCCTTGACCATGTATTTGAAGAACGAGGTCTTGGTTCCCTTACAATTTCAATGGTGCTATCCATCATTTGGAACAAGATGGTAGTAGTGGTTAACCAAGAACCATTACCATTGCCATTGTTTCCATCCCTCTCACCACCACCCGATAACCTACCAATACCGTCTCCATTTTCGAGAACATAATCCCCGACAACAACAGCTCCTGGTATAGCAGACTGAATAGCACTCACAATATCACCGTATTCTCTCTGGCGCTCAAATTGTTGCCACGCTTGTTCTCTTGTTGGATCAACATTAGAGGGTCGAGAAGTAGGATGAACTCTCCTAGCATGTCTACGCAATTCCAGATAATCTCCAGCAAACGAGCACGAATCCCTTGAGCAACTTCTCTTCTTCATGTTCAGATAATTTCTAGCCTCTTCAACAACCTCCCAGCTTAATACCGTACCTCTACATAGAGGACACTGCAAACTCGATTTTGAGTCCTCAGATGAATTATGTACTGCTAAATCCTCCTCAAGAACAGCCCTGTCCTGCAAGTTCTCAGAATCAACAGTTTCTAAAATGCCTTCATCATGTTGGTTTAAATGTCTACTTGGATCTTGGGCATCACCCGGTCTCGATCCTTGTGGAATTCCAACAGACAATAGAGTGTTAAGTTCATTTTGGAAGAGTTTGTTAACATTACACATGTCATATTGCATAGTAAAGTTAATATCAAAACTATTACCAGAAGAGTTGTTAGTGTTTATTAAATCACTTGGTAAATTCGGGTTCTCCATAGAGTTGTCCCTCATTTTTTTAAATCGGTCCAGACAGTTCGAATGCCTATAACTTGTATCACAAACGTAAGATCTACAGCCCTTATCATGAGAGCTGCAAAGTAGGAGAACAGCATTATGTGGATGGTCCATGCAGATAGGACATGAAACTTCATCCAATTCTTTGTGAAGAGCATGGATATCTGAATCACTACATAATCTTCGCTTAAAACCAGCCATTGTCCGCGAATCGTGTTAACTACTCAACATATTAAACTCATTAGAAAAATTCTTTTTTCATAAAAGCAAAATACATCAGTCTAAACATAAATATACAAAGAAAATGAATATGTGAATAAATTGAGAACTTGAATAACTCGAACCGAGATTCAGTGCTGGCAATTCAAAAGGAAAAGAGTGGCACGGGAATAAGGACATGGGGATAGCAATATGTTGTGAATCATTTGCTTATAAACTTACCAAGACAATAAGCTCTAGCTATATTCCCTACCAGAGGATTCTGAATCTCAGTTTGTAATTATAGGACCTCTATTTGACTTCAGAAAAGAATCACACAGAAATCGTTCATGCAATGCTCCAAAGTACGATATAAATAACGAATCAATGTACACTACAATCTTGGACATATGAAATTTTATCCATCACTTCTGTACAACAGAATCACCAGCGAGCCACAAAGTCTGCAGGTATACCATCAAAAAGGAAGAAAAGGACAGGTTAAATAAAACAATATTTCAAAAAATAAAACTCTTTCAATTGAATTTAAAATAGAATATATCCATTGAAAGAGAGAAATAAGTACACTTCAATTAATCTGATCCATAAATTCAACACTTTTCTTTGAATAACACTATTGGCAATGTTTTCTATTCTAAGATGTTCATTGGTGAATCCGCTACTATAATAACTAGACCACAGAGATGGTTTCTGTTATTAATGAATCCCTAAGATCATACAAAGCAGTAGTTGTTCATGGGGGCATGGCGGTCTATGGCTGAAGGCCAAAAAACCTCCATATAAACACGCTATTGCTATCTATGGCATCACCATGGCAGACATCCTTTCACCAATTGGCTGTGGCGGTAATTGAAAAATCCTCCGTGGCAGTATTTAAGTATTTAAGTAAAAATTACAAGAAAACTCAGCAAAATAGAAACAATAAACACAATGACTTCGACGGGTTATTGTTACAACTCTCCAAAGATGTTATAGATGGCAAGTTAGACTTCTCCATTTTGTTGGTTCGGGACAAGAAAGAGGAATATTTCATGGTGGATCTGTAGATTTGAAAGTTAAGCCAACAACTTATAGCAATGATAATAGACATACAAATGTAGGGTTATCAGGGTAGTCGGGACTTCTTCCTGTCTAGCACTGTCACAAACAACAACAACAACAACAATCAAACTTTATCCCACTAAGTGGAGTTGGTTACATGCATTAACTTTCGTCATAATGTTTTATCCAAGATCATGTTTCTATCCCAATCATTAATCTTGAGATCTTTCTTAATAACATCTCTTATAGCTTTTCTAGATCTTCCTCTACCACTAGATGTTTGACTTCTCTCCATCTGATCTACTCTCCTTACCACATAATCTACATGTTATGTTTTCTCTCTACATGTTTAAACCACCTAAGCCTATAAATTTCACAAAGGATTGTTAAATTTCACAAATCAAAGATATCTATAACCTAAATACACTCGAAAAGCCCGAAAACATTACGCAAGCATTAACTCCTATTAGTGTATGAAGTTTGTTTCTTTAGACATGCAGCAAAGGACAAATACTAAGTAGAAACAACATAGCAATGTTTATTTTCCCACAAGAAATCTATCATAATAAAGTAAACTATATATGATTTCTAGGCACACAAAAAAAATCAAAATTTCAATTGTAGAACATTCAAATCACACCCTATTCAATCATCACCAAATAAACACAACTTAGAACCAACTAGAATCATGAAATGAAAAGGAATCCGAAAAAAGTTTGAGGGATAATATGATCCATGTAACCAAACACAAGATCAACATCCAATCACCACACAAATTCAAAAACAAACCCTAAATTAACCCCCAAAACCAAACCCTGCAGAAAAAATCATAAATTTTTTTGGAAAAATTAAAATTAAGAACAGAAAATTACACCACAACACAAATCATCCAATTGAAAGAGCAAGATCAAACCCCAATTAGATCCAAAAATATAAATTGCACAAAAAATAAATAAAATCAGAACTGAAGGAAGGGATTTACAAAGGTGTTGAATTTAATTTATTTTTAAAATTATTTTTTGCCCTTCTTTCTTCTGGGTTGGTAATTGGTATCTGCAAAAGATCCCAAGGATGTAGAGAAGAAACAAAACACGGAAGGAAATTGGAATTCCGAAAAAACGGTTTTTTATTTATATGTTTATATATATGGTAGGAAATGGAGAATAAATAAATAGATGATAACGCAGTGTTGTTGCTGTTTTTATTTTAAATGGTAAGATGAAAATGCAGTGTGAACCTATCAAAAAAGCATCATGGTTTATAGGTCCAAACAAAATGTATAACCTAGGCAATAGAATACACAAGATGTTTTGACTGTTTTCACATTAAAAATACTTCAGAGGAAAAATATATAATTAGGTTTAATTTAGTTGATTTTTTAAAATAAAATCAAATCAAATTAAATTAATGCGGTTTAAGGCAGTTCGATTTTTTATAAAAAAAATTATTGAAACATACATACACATAGAGAAAAATGTAATTTTGTATTTAGTTATTCGTACATTATTAAATAACAATTAAAATTGTCGAGAACATAAAAAGTGGGATAAAAACGAAATTTCAAGAACATAAAACGTGGTATAAAAACGAAATTTGAAGAGAGAACACTAACATACAAATGAGAAGACAAAAAAGAAAGAATATAAAAGATGAGAGATTAGAAAAAATGATGTGAGATGTACATTGCGAAGAAGATGAGAAGAAGACACGATACTGCTAGGAGAGATTATAGAATGATGAAACTAAAACCCTAAGTGTGAGGAAGAGAAAATTGTTTGTGATCGGCTAAGGAGGAATGAGTTGAGTTTGGGTTGGATGTGGTTAAATGAAGTTTCGGTTGTAACATTAGGTGGTTTGGTTTGGTTCGGTTCAGTTTGCAAAATACAAACCGCAAACTGAATCGAACTGCACAGTTCTGTTAAAAGAATGACACAAACACATTCAAACTAATGCGATTTTTTGTTGTTTTTAGTTTAGTTTGGTTTGATTAACAGTTTTCTATTGAGACGGTTCAGTTTTGAACATCCCTAAAATACGAGAATTATTCGCAACATTTCATGCCTTTCTCATCCTCCCTGACAAATTTTTTGAAATAAACTCAACATCTGAATTTTGAAATTCATATGCACTAAAACATACGCCAAATACAAGTAAAAAATGTGAATTTCAAACTCCGGACACACCCAACATGCCATAACAAATCAAACCTCACAACCACGGCCAAATAAAAGTTAACAATTATCGTTCTTTTTGGATTGATTGCATTATTCAAAACAACATGGTTTGCTCAAGCTATTTTTGGGAAGAAGGACACATGTGGTGTTGGGTGTAAATATGAAAGTAAAAAAAGGGTCTAGAGATAGGGGATTATACCCAGTTTAAAATTCAACTGACGTTTCTAAAATCAGAGTGTTTTAAAAAATAATTTGCAAGCAGAAGGTTTGACATGAAAATGTGAAAATTATACTATTTAAATATTGATCAAGTTAACACAAATAGTTTCACAAATACCAAAGATTAATATGATGAAACACTAGGTGTGAATTGATTCAATTATATAATTCACAATTAGTCTTTACACAGTGATTCAATGAATGGAGTTTTAATGTTAAATTATTTTAGAGAAACTTTATCAACAATCTAGCTTAACAAGTTATCCAATTCCAACAAAACCTAATGCTTACGTAATAAATTGCTATCAATGAACAAACGTAACTACAATGGAATTAAAAAACTTAAGCATACAAATACTACAAATTAAATGCAAGAGTAAGAGAGAGATGACAATGAGATTTATAGTGCTTCGGCGTTTGCCTCCATTTTGCCTACGTGCACTCTTCAATGGTTTCCCATTAGAACATGCATAGTTCCTTGTTATTTGACAAATATTCGCAAGAGTTCATACAATCATCAATCCACAATATAACTGAGAAAATAAATCTCTTATTTGGATCTTGACTTGTATACAACACGCAACTAAACTATTCTACATAATCTTTACTTGATTCACGTTTCTTGAATCTTCCAATATCACAAACTTGCTCCAAGCCTTCATGTGTACCAATTAACCCCTTGATCCTAGTGATTCCTTGAGCGATGAATTGTTCAAAGATTTGAGAAGAACTCTACCTTATTTGTATCCTTCTACACGGTCACTACTAAGGCGATTCTAGAGAGGAAAACATACTTCTTTTCAATGGAATTTGTCACCACCATTGACAATCACCTCAATCTTGCTAACAACCTGGAAAAAAACATTATAAGATCTCCAAATCGATTAGTTTCAAGAATGCATCTCCTTCAATCAATTAAAAATATCTCATTAACAATATCTGAACCAAATTGAAGTTAAAGATGCAAGAATTCAGTTGTAAGACTTTGAACACTCAATACAGAGAAAATTGATTTTTCACTAGAATTACATTGGAAATTATGATTAGAATGATAAATGTTATATGAGAAATTATGACAAAAAGGTTTTAAACATGCTTGAGATTAAGCACAAAAAATGATTGAAAACGTCAGTTAGATTCGAATCAAGAGCAATCTATGATTTAAATCAAATGAGCAAGTGAAGTGGAATAAGAGGAAAGTGTGATTCAAATCATGTACAAAAATATTTCAGTTAATTCGAATAAGAGGAAAGTGTGATTCAAATCATGTACAAAAATTAATTCGGATCAAATGCAACAGCCCTGGCTGAAAAATGTTGAAAAAATGTGTGATTCGAATCATGTTCTAAATTTGATTCGAATCAAATCAAATAGAATTTGACATCATGAAATTGATTCGAATCACGTACAAAAACTGATTTGAAACAAATGATCCAGTTTTGCTTATGTCCAATTTGACTTGAATCATAAAATATGTTGGAAATCCATTATTTGAATCAAATGCTTAAAATCTCAAATTTTCATGGTTTTAAAAGCACTTTGTGATTT